CCTTTTATTTTTTGAAGTTGTATTTTAAGACAGCTATGAGCCCTTTCTACAATACCTTGTCCCTGAGGATTATGAGGAATACCTGTTTTATGTATGATTTCCCATTGGGTACAAAATTGTTGAAATGCCTTACTACTATATCCAGAAGCATTATCAGTTTTAATATTTTTTGGTATGCCCATATACAAAAAACACTTCAAGCAGTGCATAATTACATATTTTGTAGCTTCCCCAGGTTGTGCACTAGCCATTAAAAATCCTGAATAAGTGTCAATGGTCACATGTACATATCTTAATTTGCCAAATTCTGCAATATGTGTAACATCCATTTGCCATAGATGATTAGGAAGAAGACCTCGAGGGTTTACCCCTAAGTGAGGGATAGGAAAATATTTTGGATATACCCCACATCATTTAACTATTTGACAAGCTGCTTCTTTTGGTAAGATTGAATTGCTTTCTTAAACTTTTGCTATTTTGATGAAGAGCATGTGACTGTTGAGCCATTTCCACTTGGGATAATGCTCAGCCATTGCATTACTCTCAGCTAAAGGACCGGGAAGATTGGAGTGAGCCCTAATATGGCCCAAAAAGCATGGCAGCTTTCTTTTTGTGAATAGCGACTTGAATTTGTTGAAACATTTTGACTTGATTGTTGTTAGTTCCAATATTTTCACCAAAACTGTTACTATTCAAAGGTGTCAAGAACATAGATGTTCTTTCATGAAACGTATCCTTCATTAGCTTACTTTGAGAAAAAGCTTTTTCAAGATTTGGTATTTTCATTTCATTAGCTTTAACTCCTGATGTTATTAGCAGCTGTGATATTTAGCATTGATTTCTTATAAGGAACTTTCAGGTAAAGCAACTCTTTTGTAAGACAGCTAGATTCTCTGAAGTTTGTTCCAGTCTATAAAGCAGTCATTTCTTTTTTGAATGCCTGTTTCCTTGTCTCCTTATTAGATTTGCAAAGGAATTACTCATTGCAGGCTGTTTGTTCAAGGCAAAGAACTTTTTTAATTTCAACATAAGTTTTTTCATATCTAAGACAACATTCAGTGTATAAACTGCTTTCCCTTGTTTTAAGGATTTTAAAGTGGCTTGTTTGCTCTTATAGGTAGCTTTTTGTCATCCCAACTACTGTAAAAATTGCACATCTCTTAGGGTAAATAAGGCATTTTACCAAACCACGAAGCACCTAGTTCCGTATCCTTTAAATTTTTCATTGGAACTGATACTTAAACTCTTAGACGATTTTCCTCCTTATTCTTTTAAAAGCTGTATTTTAAGTTTACCATGAACGTATTTTTGAGCTGACAAAAGTGTTTCGGGGCAATGGCACCATCTTTAGCGGAAAAACTACCTTTCCCAGAATGCATTTCCCTTATATCAGTCCCTTATTGCAAGCTAGCTTTTGGACTTCATTTCCCATAGTTCTTTTCGGGTCTGAGAGTCAACTGATTCTTTTTTACCAGACTTGCTTACAGATTCTTGCCTGGGAGGTTTGAACAAAGTTTTTTGCTTTTGCAACGGGAGATTTGAACAAGCATTTTACATTTTCAGCTATGGCACATTGGGAGATTTCTATTCTCTCCTCAGCTAGCTTCAACAGATGTCTCTCCTTCATTTGACACTGGCCCCCAAATCAGAACTGCACCTGCCTTGTTAGCGCGCATTGAGGTGGGCAATTTGTGATAGCAACTTTCCTGGGGGCTTGTGTTTGCCTTAGCCAGTCAGTGAAAAACAAATATTTACAAAAGAGCTTTTCCATAGCTCCTTCAGAGATTTTCTCCTACTGATTTTATTCTCATTTTGCTTGTTCCTTTCCCCCCAGATGCAGAGCTTCAGATCTCTCAGGCTGTTCTGTTCCTCTGCTAGCTGCCTTCGGAGGTAGGGGCTTTTTCCCCCAATCTGCCTCAAACTCTTAGCAGCTTTCACAGGTCACGAATTTTCTGGGGAGGAATCTGTCCCCTGTTTCTTCAGAGTCTTTCTCCCTGACAGTTCCCAATTTGGTCTCAGTTTATTCCCTTTACCCCAGAAACAGTTTCTGACACTACAGTGGCGGCTTTCCCTGCTACTGAAGGTAGGGGCTTTTTGTCCATTTGTTTTTGGGGTCTGTGTGGTTTGCGTACAGACTGAAAATCTAACGAGGAAGGTTTCCCCCATCTCTAAGCTCACATTAGGCCAGGTGTTTTTCCCTCAGGCCTTTCACCTGACCCAGTGGGTTGCATTTGCTTGTCTGGGTGCTCAAGGACAGAGCTTATGCCAGAGGCAATCACCCCTTAGGGCTACACTCCATCTCACCGGGAGTCAGTTGAAACAAAGCTTTTCTCAAAGAGATGCTTTCTCTGACAGAAAAGAAAGCTTTACTCCTGGATAGTTCTATTTTGCCCTGACTGGACTTTCCCCAGACAGCGTTCTGACTCAGCAACACGACTGCTTCAGACACAGTTCAGTTTCACTGTTTTCCCAGAAAGGTCCTTACTCTGATAGGAAAGCTTTTTCTCAGATTTCTTTTTGCAACTGTGGACCTATCAACCTGGGACTTGTAGGAAAGCAGACAACTGTGCCGTTCCCACTGGCTTTAGCTTTGTTTGTTCATTAGCAATCTTCCCCTGGGTCCTGCTCCTTCCTGCCTCAGCTCTATGCTCCAGGAAGTTTACCACTGCAGGAACCCTAGTATCCACAAAATGCATTTCAAACTCAGACTCTGGCCAGTCGCCCGCCTCTGGGTTTTTGGTCAGAAGCTAGGATAGAATGCTAACCGAGTTTGCATTGCTTCAGGGGATCTTTGCATTAGGACTATTAGGAGCACCTTTTCATTCTGAAACTCTCACTCAAACAAAACCCTTGATGCCTCAGCTCGCTGTAACTGGAAAGTTTGACTTTTTTGCTTTTCTCAGGTAAAGTTTCCGGCTCTTTTGGGCTCTCTAGCTCTTTACCCGCACTCTCCCAAGCATTTCCCTCAGGGTACTCTGACCCACTGTCTTTTACCAGCTTGAAGAGACAAGGCTTAGAAGAGGTTTTTAGGAACTTGTCCCTGCCTCTTGCATTGCAGGGAAGATTTTTAAAACTTGAAAGAACTTGGAGAGGTTTTGCTGTCTTAAGTTTGTTGCTTTCCCTTAGAGCTAATCACAGTTGGTCCCCATACTAATATCTTCAGGTGATTAATTTTTATCCTTCTGAGAGAGAAAGAGGCTTTAGTTTTTAAGTTTTTTAAGAGAGCTTTTGAAAAAGATTAAAGCTTTTTAGAGAGATTTCCCCCCCAAATTTTCCAAGAAAAGCTTTTTAGTTTAAGAGAAAGATTTTTTTTTTCCCCCAAGAGAGAAAGACCAACTTATCCCAAAACTTCTGAACTTTAAACTTTTTGGCTTTTTACACCCCCATTTTTGCCTCAGGGAGAAAACACTTTCTCCTGCTGCTTGGACTTAGCATTTCAGCTGTCCCCAGGACAAAAGCTTCCATAGGAAACCTTTTCTTCGCCATAAGCTCAGGGAAGAGCTTTTTTACTTCCCATAAAGCCCAAAGAAAGATTTTCCCCCAGTTTGTGTTCATAGCCCCCAAAGTTAGAAAATTGAAGTTTTTCTGTCTAGTTGTCTTATTTTTTTACACGATCTTACATTTCTAATTTTTTCCTACACTATATTACTACCCTTAAACTTATTTTTCACAGATAGAAATTGAGAAAGGGATAGAAGATAGAAAATTTTGACAGAAGAGAATTGCGCTGCAGCATTGGACATCCTTCTAGTCCGTTTTCCTTTTCTCTTGAGGATAAAACCCCTGCCCCTCGATAATTAATATATATATATATATATATATATATATATATATATATATATATATATATATATACACACACACACACACACACACATATATATATAAAATATATATTTTTTCCATAACACTGGCATGCCTTTCCACTGGCAGAGCTGACCCACACTTTCGACAAAAACTCTGTAATAAAACTATTATTTTCCTTTATCTTTAGTCCCTATTACTTTGTCTTTAGTCCCTGTTCATTTGTCTTTAGTCCCCCCTTTTTTTAGTCCCCCCTTTTTTTCTTTTTTCTTTAGTCCCTGTTCATGGTGCCATTCTGTGGGGCATTTATCCACCAACCCCACAGCTCCCCAGAGTTTTCTTGAGTGTGAGCAGCAGGAAATATTAGATAGAAAGATTTATATTGCGGAGATAAACAGAAAATAAAGGATAGCCTTGAGAGGGCCTGGAACCTTTTCCAACAGGCCCTGACGGGCTCTGCCCCAGGGTATTTATAGAGACGCCAAGGGGCTGGAGCAAAAGACCTCCTGCCCCAGCACAGCCAAGTGCAGACCATCTCAGACACCTGCACTCAGGCCCATGGTCCTAATCATCCTCTATGCAGACATGCTGGGTAAAGCCACGAGGAACCATTAACCCTGAGAGGCAGGGGGAGCAAAGGCAGTTTGTAGCCAGCTAGATTGGAGCTTCCAACCTAGCTATTGATGTCAGAATTTGGGGACAGGTGAGGCAGTAAGGAGAAACCTCTCCCTGTTTCTTTAGCTGGCTAACTCATGGGACCACAGTCTTCTTGGGATAGGGCTTTGTATGATTACTCAGTAAAGCTCGTGTTGAATTGCCTTGTATTTAATTTGAAATGTTACTAATCTTTATTATGTTTGGTATACTTAAAAATACATATTCCTGTTCTATTGTACTTATTTTAACTTAAACTAAGCTGATTGCAACCCACTTCACTGATTTCAGAACTTGGTTTTGGTTCATTGCTAGTGAAAGTTGATATGGGTTTTATTTGCTTTCTTGAGCTTTAGTTACCTCAACTGTGAATGTGGTTTGATCAGTGGTTGTGCCAAGGAATTCTGCACCGCTTTCCCAATCTTAAATGCAGTTACTGGGTATCCACTTTGAGAGTGGTCTACCCATTCTGTAAGCCAGGAGTTAATATCTACATTTCTGCCACAACTAACAACCTGTATGTCTTCTCCCTCTTTTTTAAGGTAACATTTGCCGGTCACCCATTGCAGAAGCAGTTTTCAGAAAATTGGTAACTGATGAAAATGTTTCAGATAATGTGAGTACTGTTCAGTAGTGTAAAGAGTCCAGGCTAAGTACCTATGGGCAGAAAGGTGCCAGAACATTCTTTTTCTCTCCTGCAGTGGAGGATAGACAGTGCGGCTACATCCACCTATGAAGTGGGGAACCCCCCTGACTATCGTGGGCAGAGCTGCATGAGAAAACATGGCATCCCCATGAATCACGTTGCACGGCAGGTACCGTACTGGAACTTGACGTATGTTTTGTGTTACAGTGGGCCATTGACAGCAGCGCTGTTTCCGACTGGAACGTGGGCCGGCCCCCAGACCCAAGAGCTGTCAGCTGCCTAAGAAATCATGGCATTAGCACAGCCCATAAGGCAAGACAGGTAGAAAAGATCTTGTTTAATTTCTACTACGTAGAATCCCGTAATTTGAAAGACTGACCACCCTATGTGTTACTGGATGTATTTGGTTGGGGTGAACTAACTTGCTACCTGCGTAGTTCTAAAGGTTTAGATGACCTTGGATAATTTGTTAAAGTACAAATAAAAGGCATAAAATACAGTGAGACAGTCTTGACTCTGAGGCCTTAAAAAACAAAGACAGAAGCTCCTTCCAGAGCAATTTTAATTATTAGCTTTAGAAGTAGGATTTCCATGGGATCTTTTTTGTTTTTTCTTTTCCTTTTGTTTTTAAGAAAAAGTTCTCAACCATTGTTTTTGTTTTTTTAGTTTGAAAACACTAGTAAAGAATATTCTGTAGGTCGATATCACATTTTTTTTTTTGCTTATGTTTACAGGTTCTTTCTCTTTACTGATTTTCACCCTTTGTGTAAATAACTATTCTAGTACAGTTCTTAAAGTTTTATTTCCCTAGTCTGTCAACCTAGGTTTACTAGATGGCCTGTTGTTAGGATGCTAGTTCTTTTTTGACTCAGTAGTAATGTCTTGGGCTGTGAGCTTAGTGTGGTCAGCTGTGGAGAACAGCCCTTGTTGTTGAAGTGTTCCTTCCATCAGCTTGTCCATGAACTGAATATGACACTGAGATTACGTGGATGCTTTCTCCCTTTCATGGAGAGGTCACCCTCAAAATTCCCTTCTGCTTTTTAACCTGATATGAGTAGGATCATTTGCATTTTCTCTTTTGACTCAGGGTGATACTCTGTAACCCAGACTAGCCTCAGACTCAAGGCAGTCCTCCTGATTCACCTTCCCCGGTGCTACCCAGGGATTGTGGGTATGCTTGGTATCCCTGGCACAGAGGTGGAGTCCATACATTCATAGTATCTTCTCCGTGTTGCTGCTAAGTGTAACAGCAGTTGTCCTGGTTGGTGTTAAGTGCTTTATTGTTCTACCTGCTCTACCTCTGCTGGGCTTGTGGGCAGCTTCTAGTGTGAGATTTCTATGAGTAGCGCTCCGCTGCAGATGGAGTGAGCACAAGTACAGGATTCTAACGAGTTTATACCTAGTGTATGTACCTGTACCTCATCAAATGCACTGGGGATGCTTTCTTATCTTTAGAAGTTTATAAAAAGTTGACAGTATCTCTACTTTGGAAAAATTGGTCTGATCAATTGTTTTTGCTATTCCTTTGGTTTGAAATTACCCATCTTTTTTTCTTGCTGCTTGTTTTTCTTCTGGTCTACAGTTAAGCAGCTTTGCTGTGGGAAACCAAAGTATGCTTTTTGAATTGTGACTTGATTTTCTTTTTAAATCAATTTTGGGAAATGACAGACTGTTATTTTACCACATTTTCCTTTTTTTGTAAAGACAACTTTTATGTATATTGAACATAAAATCTTTATGTTCTTTTCTCTTGTTTCCATCCTATCACTCTGTTCTTATTATGAGATTTCCTGCTAACCAGGTGTCGCTCTAAGCATTTTGCTATTTACAGAGTCCATAAGTGTATTTATGGAGTTATTGATGTCTGTCATTTTATTAACAGCTGTTTTAGGTTTTACTTGATCTTTTTGTAATTGTAGTTTTCTGGTGAAACTTAGCCTCTTACAGTTTTTTGGACATCATACTGTTACTATTATTTCATAATTTATTCTTTGGCAATTTCATATGTGTGCATAATATATTTACTCCTATTAACTTTTCTACTTTCCTCTTGTCTCCTTCTCACTCCTTTCGATTCCTTCTTCTCAACATATCTCCCTCCTACTTTCGTGTGTGTGTGTGTGTGTGTGTGTGTGTGTGTGTGTGTGTTTGTGTGTGCATGCGCGCACACACATACACACTCATCCCACTGAGTTAATTTAAGGGTGTTGCATGCCTGTGGCATGGAGTTATTTACTGGATAGTGGGGAGCTTACCATTGGCTGTTCCACTTAAGAAAAATGACCTCCTCAGCTAGGGGTTAGGCCTCATATGCCCCTCCCCATTCTTGCCAGACTATTGATGGGCTCCATGTTGTGCAATAATGAAAGCTGCTGTGAATTCACAAGTGAACATACTGGTAGTATTTTCAATAAGGTTTGTTAACATCTTTCTGAGTCATTTCTGAGCCTGCTCTCTTTTTACCTTTTTGGAGTAGCTTAGATAGGGCCTAGTACATGATTTTATGCAAATGATCTGCCACTGAGCCGTATCCCCAGCATTATTTAGTTTTTATTTTGATAGTCTCACTCTGTAGCCTAGGTTGGCCTTGATCATGATCTTCCTGCTTCTCCTTTACAAGGAGCTGAAATTACAGACCTATAATACTAGGCCTGGTGAGTCTGTTTTCTTCTCTTTGCCATGTGGTGTCCTTGCAGGTGGTGTGTAACAATCACAGTGCCTTTGAATGATCACATTCTTATACCATTGTTGTTGGGATGCAGGTAGATAAGAGTCTCAGTCGGATTGAGGGCTTATGGTAATTGAGTACTCTGCTCTTTCTGCTGGGCCTGAGGTATGGCATAGACAGCACACCATTGGTGCAGGGGCAGTCCTGGCATCGAATGTTGGTCTTTTCTTTACTGAGTCGACCCAATTTCTCATTGGCCTATTGAGCTTTTTGCCCTGGTAGGAGAGAACTTGGTCAGGCCAAGAGGAAAAGGCTATACTAGCTCTCATTTTCTGGGCCTCATTTTCTTCCAAGGCTGGCCTCAGTTTCTTCTCCATTTTCCCAGACTGACAGCAAGGCAGCTGGGGCCCTGTTTTTCTACCATGGCTTTTGCTTGGGTCTCTATTCTCAAGGAAGCTTCTGGGCACTTGACACCATTGAAATCTCAGTCCTGATGGTTGTTTGTGCGTGCTTACTCAGTTGTGGTTTAGTATCAAACAGTAATATTCACAGTGATCCACAAGTCCTTTGAAAGCATTCCTAAATTGCATATAACTTTACCTTAGATGGTATAATCTAATAGAACCAAGTGCAGGAGCTTAGAAGAAAATCTGGCTGACAGTACTATCCCCTGAACTGAAAATTAAAACGTCTGTGGGCTAGAGCAATGTCTCAGTGGTTGAGTTCTTCCTCAGCACCCATGTTAGGCAGATCATAACTCTAGCTCCAGGTGATCTGATGCCTTCTAGTTTCTACTGCACACAGGTGCATACCTTCACACACACACACACACACACACACACACACACACACACAGACAAATAAGAACAAATCTTAAGAAAAAAAGCCTATGGTTCTGGATTTTTAATGTTTTAAAAAAATTTATTTATTTTTGTTTTATGTGTTTGAATGTTTTGCCTGAAAGTATGTGTACCACATTCATGTAGTGCTTGCAGAAGCTAGAAGAGAGTGTCAGAATCATTGAAACTTGAATTACACAGTTTTGAGACACCATGTGGATGCTGGGAACTGAACCTGAGCCCTCTGCAAGAGCAACAAGTGCTTTTCACAACTGAGCTATTTCTCTAGTCCTGGATTTGTATTTTTTAATTACGAAAAAAATAATTTTGTTTTAGTTTTAACAATGATAAAACCCCCATAAATGGGCTGTTTGGATATGGACTTGAATGCTTTGAGAGTTAAAAGAACTCTTGGACTATAATGACTTGAGAGTTAAAAAGCCCTTAGGAAAGCTCTGGGTAGGATCCAGTTAGTGCTTAGTGAGATCAGCAGGTAAGGTCCATGCATAGGAATTCAACTGGAGATGATCTGTTATCTGTGGCTGTATCCCTGCCACACTGCTGTAATGAACCAGGGATTCTTAGGAGCATGCTTATGACCTTGAAGAAGAATCTTGGTTTCCATGTGGGTTTTCTAATTATATATGGTAATGGGATTAAATTGTCATATGCCATATCCTGTGTAGCTGCATGCAAAAATGCTTTACTGTGCATTCTTCATGAGATGAAGTTCTAGCTGCTCTTCTTAGTCATTTTAAAATCCAAAAATCTTATGTTTGACTGTGTAAGCCACTAAGTGTTACCTTTTTTAAAGGATAAATCAATTATAATAGGTCAAAATTAATGCTAAGGTATTTCTTATAACTTGAAAAAGTAACATTTTATATAATAGTATTTGCTTAATATCTTTGAAATAAGTTATAAGCCTTGGGGATATTAAAAACAATACAATTCTTTGTAATTATTTAAATGCTATACTAAAAGTTAATAGAAGTGTATACGAAAAGCTAAAATTTCCCATTTCTAATAGAATAACAAGCAAGTGACCAATTTTATTATTCTTGGCTATAGTTGTTGTTCCTTTTACCCAAGTGCCTCCTGGGTAGTCAAAATCTAGAAGATAAATTTCTTTAGCTACACTTAAAGGGGCTTTACATGTCTTAAACTATAAGGTGTCAAAAAAAAAAAAGTACATCTGATGACATTTTAGAGGAATCCCTTCCATGTTAAGTTATGGATTTTTGTCCCTGGTGGACCTTCTACCCTTTGAAAATTAGTTACTCTCCCTTTTCTCAGGCCCTGTATCTCCTCTCTGCCTTTTTCTGTGAGAATATTTATTGTCCTTCATGAATGGATGGGCCTACTAGAAGATTTGTTCCTTGATTAATCTGGAGTGTGTTACCAAGGGCTAAGACAGTCAGTCTTAGGAATGACAAATAGAGTAGTGGAGGTGATTGCATGAAAGTCATTTCAGTGTGTCAACAGAATTATATTTCTTTACTGAGGGACCAAAACTGGCAATAAACTTTATGCCCATATTTCATATTTTCTAATTATTGCAAAGAACCTTGTATAAAATGTCCATATTTTATATTTTTTGATTATTTCAAAAAACCTTGCACAAAATTATTTTGCAATATAGTTTTGGAAATACTTAAAAATACCCTAAATTGCTTATTTTGTTAAAATTTTACTTAATGACTGAACATGTAATTTAGTTAATGAGTTACCATGTTTTTTTTCCAACTACTGTTTTGTATGTATATAATCACTGTTTTGACTCCTTAATTGTAGATTACAAAAGAAGACTTTGCCACATTCGATTATATACTGTGTATGGATGAAAGCAATCTGAGGTAATCATTATATACAATTGGTTTTTTAAGACAGGGTTTCCCTATGTAGCCCTATCTGTTCTGGAACTCACAACTGCCTCTGCCTCCTGAGTGCTGAGATTACAGGCAAGTGCCCCCATGCCTCTCAGTGTATCATAGGCCTAGCAAGTGATTGTACAGAATGTCTTACAGTTTTTAATGTACAAGGTTGATTATAATTTACAGAATTATTCAGGATGGCAGGAAAATCAGAGGGTGAGGTATGGTTGTCTCAGAGATCTGTTTACAGAGATGTGTCTTCCAAAAGAGAAAGTCCAGCTAGTGCAATGAATGGACATGGAGATCAGCTGGTTTGGGGCTATAGGTTTAGAGGTGATGAATTGATTTGCATTGATTCTGTTAACTGCTGTAATACATGAGAAGTATCTTGTATCTTATTTCCTTAGAAATGCAGCACTCTAGAGTAAGTCTGATAAGATAGACTTTACTGGGTTTACATTTTTGGTTAATTAACACTGATGGGCTAAGATATTAAGTAGCAATGGTTGCTCTGTAATGCTGATGTGGTCTGCAGGTCCACACCACTCATTAGTAAATTCACTTTATTACCAAGGAAGAAATTGAGTAACTGTGGACTTAAGTTACTTCCCTAAGTTCATGAGACAGATGGCTGGGTATAGAAGGGCCTAAAGCCATAGCTACTTCCACCTTGGTCTTCATGCTTTCCATTGAACTCATTTGTCCCAACCACACTTGCTTCACTCACCTGTCCTTGCACTCAGTCCTACTTGCTTCAGTCTTCACTTGACCTGAACGTTGTCCAAACTGTCCCTTTGTCTTGGGATGTGGTATACATGTGTTTTTTTTTTTTCTTTCACTTCTCTCCTGACATTTTATGTGTCTGAAATGATATCATTTTTATTATATCAAAATCCATTTCAAAAATCAAAAGAAAACCTAATAATTTTGTGACTTAAAGATGTACATTTGGGTATCAAAATCAGTGCACTGTGGCATACAGCTGCAGGAGTCCCACAGGTCTTCAGAGTATTCTGTTTCATTTCAAGTCAGGTTGCACGGTTGTATTTTGATAGGACATTTCATAAACCCTGAGCAGATGTCCCTGTTTAACTTAAAACCTTAGATCAGAAATCTCAGTTCATGTTTTGATTTTACAGAGATTTGAATAGAAGAAGTAATCAAGTTAAAAACTGCAAAGCTAAAATTGAGTTACTTGGAAGCTATGATCCACAGAAACAACTCATTATTGAAGATCCCTATTATGTAAGTACATTTCAGGTTTGGGGCCACTGTTAAGATGGGCAGGAAATATTATTCTGTAGAATTAAATGACAGGAGTGGGTCTTCTGAGGACATTGTTATCATAAACATTATTGGTGTTTCTTTTTATGTCCTTGCAGGGCAATGATTCTGACTTCGAAGTGGTGTACCAACAATGCCTCAGGTGCTGCAAGGCCTTCCTGGAGAAGACTCACTAGATGGTCCTGCCCACCACCATTTAGCAACTCACTCACCAGAGCCATGCCCAAGGGTGGTGGCAGTCCTTAGTCCTATGCCCCACCTGTCTTTTCAGCTGATTTACTACTGTGTATCTTTAAAATAACTGTAGGTGGAAATTAGGTATATGTTCAGAAGGATAAAAATATTTGAGTAAGACAATTTGAGGTGTGGCTAAGCATTCTTAGACTAATTGAACCTCTCACCTTGTCCTAATTACAAAATAGTGGAACAAGCAAATATGGAACAAAATAGAACCCAATAAAGTAAGAATGACCTACAAGGTCCAGATCAGCCTCTGAGCCAAGCCAGCCTGAGTAGTCTGGTCTAACAGAGTGTGTGCATGGGCAGCTCCCAGTGGTACCATTTGCCTGCCTTATACCTCTGTCCTAGACTCTTGTGACAATAACTCCATCCATATCAGCCTTCCATTTAACATTGGAAGAGTTTAAACTCAGACACTGAGGGCATTCAAATATTTGAAAAAGGAGAAGCTGGATGTGATAATGCAGGCCTGCAATTCCAGCAGGCCATCTTGGGCTATACAGTGGAGATGGGAGCAATAGATTGATAAAATGAGCATTTTTACTCTTCCTTGGTTTTTGTCTGGTGTTTTTGAGCTTTGTTCCTATTTTGACTCTCTAGTGGTATGTTTGTAGTGTTCTTTCATCAGTATTTTAAAAAGTTAACAGGCAAGCATAAGTAATTTTAGTGCATTTTCTGAAAAGTGACCTCAAATTCATATGGCTATATGTCAGAAAAGAATGTGAGTTAAACTGGGAAGTTAAATACAACTGAAATAGAAATCTGGTGTCTGCCTCCTTTTTTATTAACAAATGAAAAAAAAATAGCTAAAACATTGCCTCCATGTGCCTTTGTATTTGGTCTGATGTTAAGTTTGTGTACTTATTCTTATATTAGAAAGTAAAATGATGAAAAATATAAGCAAATTGCTGTGACAAGTAGTGATGTATGCTTAAAATTAAGAGACTCCAGGAACTACCCTTCTCTATGAGCCTTCTTCATGTAACTGGTGCTCCTGCCGGCTTCCTCGCTGAGTAGCTGATAACTGTTTTAGCCTGACTTAACTGGTCACAACTGGTGACCTCCAATCCTGGAGAACTCCTAGTTTGAAAAGGCATCCATCCATATTTGAAAGGAAGCACAGAGACCTGGGAATATGCAGTTACCGGCTTGGCCAGAGCCTACTCTCAAAGGAGGAAGATGAGACAGCTGACCCTCTGGAGGAAAGCAACCATCCCAATACCCTCTTCTCACAGAAAGGCCATGATGTCCTGACAGAGACAGACACTTCACCAGTTGACTTTTTCTGGCTCTTGTGGGGTTTTGGTCATAGTTTTCACAAAGTTAAAAACTAGGAAAGCAAAGGGCAAGTAGTCAACTACAATAAAGAAACAGATTAAGTCAAAAGCTCTCCGTTCTAGTTCAGTAGTTGCTTCAGGATCTCAAATTTCTCTTTCGCGTTATAAAATCCTATTGTTTGCTTGAATTTTTACATGTATATCTTAGATGCAGGTCCTTGGAATGTGGTATTCTGGTGGCAATTTTGTTCTATGGCTGTCCTAAACAGCACCATGTGTTTATAAGAGCTCATGAACAGAAATTTACCTTTTTAAGTTCAATCCAGTTACACTTATTTAAAATACAGCCATTAAAATTTGGAATTGCTCATAGGGTTCTTAGCTTGGCATTCTCTTACAATCATGTAGGAAATGGTGAATATAAACTTATTTGGATGACTAAATGACACCAAGTAATCAGCAATTTGTGTCATTTAATACACCTACATACATACACACACACACTGAACAATGACATTGTTATAGAAGAGTCACTCTGAAGACTGTTCATTATACCAAACACTTCATTTATTTCCTTGTACTTATTCACAGTATTTACATTTTGTACAATACCTGGAATGTACTTTTACAGAGGACAAATGGGACTGGTTTGGACATATCTGCAGGTTGATATGCCACTGTCTTTAACACAAGTGAGGTTTTTTTGGTTTTCATTAAAATTTTTCATGCAGTTCCAAACTGTACTTTGGGAGTTTAATTGTAGAAGTAGTACAAAATGTCAAATCATACTGTATACTATGAAAATACAATTTAATGTTCTGCCTATGTTTTTAAAGAAATACTCCATTTGGTTCCACATAATCTTAAAAGAGAAATACCTCATTTTATAGCATTAAACATCAAATGTGGAGTGTTCTCAGTTCTTATAATCTAAAGAGTGGCAAGTCTCACTGACAGAAACATTGATTTGCTGAATGTATATTTGTAAACTGTCAGCAACATAGAAAATACAGAGGGATTATGGAAGAATGCAAAAATAAATCTCTGTCCACAGGAAATGGGCATGAAGATGGTTCTGTTCTCTGTTGGTTTCCAAGGCACTTTTCAAGGTTCCTGGTGTTGCTCCTTTGCAGCTGAAAACAATTACATTTGATTTTATATTGCCACTCACTTTTTATTACCAATTTTAGAGGACCAGTGAGTTCAGCAATATAATAACACATTTATAAACAAGGAGTCTGTATCTATCTTATGTTCAAAGTCTAGGTCTTTCCCCCACTCCCATCTGGAAAACAACTAAATTTTTTAGTTACCATGTGCTTGCTGCCTAAGGGATGAAAGCCATCATGCACACCTGTGAATAAATACTTGCTACTGTTAACTTTAGTTCTTGGTCTTGATGGGGATCTTTGGGTATTCAATCAATAGAGTTGCAGTTTGTGTCACTTCAGGGAAAGTGACACAAACTTGCCTTAAACTTCTGTGTTCACACAGTAAACTTACTATTTAATCAAAACCCTTTCTAGTACTTCTTGTTAAAATACCTGTCTACTTGTTAGTTTTAAAGGGAGGATAACAGCAAGGTTACTAGGCCATATTTAGCTTAAACCAGGTACTTGGATACTTAGTATTCAAGTCTATACTTAAAAAAAAAAATCCCAGAGCTCAGGCTTTTCATTTAACTGACCTGTAGGTTCAATAATAAGGTGTATGTGTGACTCATGCTTTCTCTGGTCTGAGGACAGTTACTGAGCTTCCCAAGGAAACCTCATGAATTCACTCATTACTTGTCTCCTAGGACTTGTAAAACCTGACCCTTAGGCTGTGGGCAAGAGCTGGGACAGGAATCTAGTCCAGTTGTCTGGAAAAGAGAAGATGAAAACTAAGCAGAAGACTGGTGTGGCCACTGTGAGCCAGCAGAACACATGCTCAGGGTTTTCTCCATTGTGGTGAGATGGGATGCTTGTTCTGGACCTGACTAGTACCCTGAACTAATCTGCAAAAGTACAGAGACACCTACCTAAGTTAATACTGGTGGCCACTAGATATAGGTTTGCTGTCCGTTTTAACCTTCTGACTTAAAAGAGTTTAATCTTTAAAAAATAAATAAAAGTTTTAAACTAACAGCAGAGATACTAGTGTTTTAAATTGCACCCCCCCCCCCATATTTTGGTCAAACTGAACCTATTCCATGTGGGACAAGTGACTGTTGAAGCAGGTGGCCTTTGGTACAGAAGTCTGAGAACACAGATCTTCGTGCCCCTGTACTGTGTTGCAATATTCTGTCTGGATAATGCAGATGTAGCAGAAGCCACTGTGACTTACTGTGTCTGCCCCATGCCATATCTCTTCAACATGCCTTTTCCTTGCTGTTTTCTGTAATATACTATTATTAGGGCAAGCATAGATGTGCTGCTGATGCCTGGCAGACTGGCCAAGAAGAGCTGGTGCATGAATACAGTGTGCTGCTGGTAGTTTGGTTCTTTGGGAAACTGAATCCTGTACAAGAGCAGCCAGCCCTCAGGAGGCTAGGTGGTACCAAAGGCAAGAAAGTTCTCAGTGGATAGGCTGGACATTCATGCCCTACTTCCCAAGAGACACCCAAAGGATATAATAGAACTGATATTTTTATTTTCCCAGCACATTACCAGCACAACTACACGTGTGTGTATGTATGTATGTATGTATGTATGTATGTATGTATGTATGTATGTATGTATGTATGTATATGTGTATGTATGTGAAGAGAAAACACTTCAATGAGCTATAAATGCAGTGGTTGAAAAAATGTTGGAAAGAAGGGAAATGAGGGCACGTACTTCTCAGCTTTGACTAGCATAAACACACCTGCTTCCTCCAGAAAGCCAGGATACATGTGCAGCCCTCACTGCTTCACTTCACCATTAGTAGAGAGCCTCTTATTTTTAGTGGCTTTTGGTCTTGATATAGCAATCCAGACTGTGAGGATGTTGTGTCCTGGCCCTGCTGACCCAGCTAGGTCCAAGGTTTACCTCTGTGCACACTGCTGCTGCTGTACTGGGCATGTCTGTATATAAAAGAGTGCTCCTCTCATCCATTTTTTATGAGACAAGCTAGAATAGCTATTAAAAAAATGCAACATTTTTTATTTGTATTTTCTGGAGAACGGGCATGTTTTCTGGGAATAGCCATTTGTATTCAGGAAGTAGGTCTTATTTGTGGTGTGAATCTCTAACTAATAATACCTGACACACTTAAGACATAGAAATACAGAACTGATTAAAGTCCTGTCAACCGGTCTTAAACGAATTAGTACTGTGGAATCTGTATTGGGAAGTAAAGCCATATTCCCCCTATACATTGTTAGCAGCACAGTTGAGAGCATCAGTGTACAGTTACAACCTGATAGTGCATTTACATTTCTTCCACTAGGCATTAGGGTGGCACTCATAGAAACATTTATTAGCTATGTTAGTTTTTGTTTGTTTGTTTTTGCTATAATGATAAGACTCGAAACCTTTACCAGATACATAAAATTTGCGTGGCTGTGGTTAGTAACAAATAGTATAGTCTAACTTAAAATTTTGTATTACTTTACCAAAGTGCAAAAGGAATGCACATTTGACAAGTATCATGTTTCAGGGTTTGTGTGTGTGTGTGTGTGTGTGTGTGTGTGTGTGTGTGTGTGTGTGTGATATACGTATGTGTATGAAGATGTGCGTGCCCATGTATGCATACAAAAGCCAGAGAAGGATGTTGAGTGTCCTGTTATGTAGCACTCTACCTTAGTCCTTCAAGACAGGGTCTCTCACTGAAACTGGTGCTAAAGTGGTCCTTTTGTCTGGCCACTGCAGCTCTGGGGTTACAGGAATCTGTTGCCATGTCTGGCATTTTACATGGGTAATGGGGATTTGGAACTCAAAGCCTCATGCTTACATAGAAAGTGCTCTTACCTTCTGAGCTATATCCCCACCCACATGCCTTAGTTTTTAAATTTGGTGATTTTTATGGATTGATATGCAGTGCAATGCTGGGCAGCAGGGAACCACAGTTCTAGCCTGCCACATTCTATATGTTGTTTATTAAATAAGTTTTGAAGGACATCTGTGTTCATAAATGTCAGTGAATTAGTTCAGCCTTGAAGCCAACAGCAATGGGTTAAAACATGTGCCCTGATGTAAACTGTCTGTGCTGAAATCAGCTATGTACCATATGAAGCTCCAATAACAATGTCCACTGTAGATAGCCAGCAGGGGGAGCCTTCTACTCATGGCCAGCATTTTGAGATAAGTTGATTGTCTTTTGCTCAGAGAAAGGCTACTGTAGCGAAAGAATGCATGAGTCTAAATGCCCGTTGGTTTTTTTGTTGTTGTTGGTGGTGGTTTGTTTGTTTGTTTTTTAATGACCTACTTGGGATACTAATACTTTCTGTGTGTCCACCACAATTGTTTGGGAGCTTACCTTATCTCTCCATGCACATGGGACTGACAGCCAGCCGAGTAAGTAGCCTGGCACATCTTTTATAGTCTGCAGTGAAAACAAACCATGGACCCTTGTCAGTTGCCTGCACAACATTAAAATTAAACATAGGCTGACTTTTTTGCAAGTTTATAAAGAGTTATAACCACCATTTATTTTTTTAATATTCTGACTTCCTTAGAAGCAATATAATCTGTTATCTGAAATTATGAACTCTATATTACTTACTTACTTCAGGGGAAATTGGCATTACAAGTAGAAATCAGATAAGGGCTACAGAAGGGATAGACACAGCATCCTCTGAAGTGTGGCTGCCAGGTCCACAGAAATCCCACTAGTGTTGCTTCTAGTGAGATAGGCTACTAACGTGCCTTGGTGTGAACTCTCTTTCACATTACATGCAGATTAAGTCCCTACCTGAGATGAGCCTTATAGACTTTTACAGTGATGTCAGAAAGAAAGAGGGACAAAAGGATCAGGGAAGACTGGACCCAGTTGGGAGGCTATGCAAGAAACAGAAGCAAGGGGATAAGAAGGTCAATGCTGGTCTGGGCTACAGAATGAATATGAGGCCACCTTGAGCAACTTAACAAGAATATGTCCCAAAAAGTAAAAATGGGAGATAGGGGTGGGTATAGCTCAGTAGTAATGTGCTTGTGGAAAACTCTAAACTCAGTTATCAACAATGAAGAAGAAGAGGAAGATGAAAGTTTAAAAGCAAATTTTCAAGTGTAGACTGGAAAAAAAGGTAACATTTTTGAGTGCAGCCTGATGGTCACTGCTGCTTCCTAGATTCCATACTTCATTCTTCTGCTCCATCAAAAAATGTATAGGAAGGTTCAGTTACCACAGCTATAGGAGAATTTCCCCAGGACAAATTTCCGTGAAAAGCTTCAGTAATTTATGATTTACTAAAGTGTATTTCTCAGGAGTAACAAAAATCATCAAAAGGGGAAGCATTCATCCTCAATGGAGAATCTGAATGAGTGACAATGATAAATATTTACACACTCCCAAAAAGTTAGCTTCTGAATATTTATGACATATATCCCTTTGGTTCAAAGAGGAAAAAGAACCTAACCTACTTATAATTGGTCACCTAGATTTGTTTTATTGCTCTTCTTCCACAATTTTGGAAATGTAGTTTTCCTGAATAGATTCTGTACCAAGATGGAGTAGATTGTGAGCTCAGGAGTCATCTAATTAACAAACTGTACATACTTCCATTTGTAATTTGCCTTGAGATTCTAGGTGTTCCTATCTCACTCAGTCCAAGTATCAAACAATGCTCCTCAACCAGTGATGTGCATGTAGAGTAGAACTGATTCTGTTTATCAGGAATAAGAGATTTGGTTCTTCATTCCACCAAGCACTTATGGCTATCTAGGAAGGCTGGACTCTATGGTCCACATCAGTTCTAGCACCCCAGGATTTCAGCGAATTTCTGAACATCCTAAAACATCGCAGAAGGGCTATCATTCTGTTTTAATAAAAAAAGAGATGGAAATGGCTGATTGTCCCAATGCACAAATGTGTCAACCTCCCACCACTTGGGACTCAGTTTAAGCTGTGACCAGGAGTCTTTATATATTATTACCAAAGGATGCAACAATGTGGAGAATGGCAAGACACCCTGGGAGAAGCTTGAAGAGACTTTGCAGGGTGGGGCATGAGCCTTGAGCCTGTTGTTTTGATGTTTCTATGACAAGCAATTTAAATTTTGTCTCCTAATCTCTAAAGGAATGGGTTTTAATGCTAGAAGGTCATGTTCAAATTTAGAATCTAGAATCATATTATTGTATTATATGAGATGTTTATTATAAAATAGATGTTCATTTAAACAATAAAAAGGTTCTGAGGCCCCAGGAAACAAGTTAGTAATGCTCAAACAGAAGATATTTCATTGCACAAGAAAGTAGGGGAGATAATGATACAAGAGGTTCACGTAGCAAGTTCAAATGAAAAATCATACTCTACAGGAAGTATGTTTTCTAAACCCTGGGCTTTAGACCTGACTGTCTGACACATGCTAGTGAGAAAGCCTTGCTGGGCCAAGACCCACAGATGTGATGTCATGAACCTACCTAGCAGTGTCCATCATACAGAAGCAGTCTGTAAATGACAGGCATCAATATTCAGAGAAGCTATGCTGCCTAAACAGAAAAAAAATCTTACTCCATGTAACCAGTATATCTGTGTCAAGCAGGAAAGGCTACTTCAGTCTGCTGACTGGGCTGCTGTCCTCTTTATCATCTCTCAAAGCAGCCAGCCAGATCCTGGTGTGTCTGCATGGCTTTTCTCCTGTGAAAGTCGTCATCTCATTTTTTAAAAACGATTTTATGAAGAGTGCAAGGGGTCATTTGGTGGGGGAGTAAAATATACTTCAGTAGATAAGTAAATGAAGTGTGTTGAAAATGAAAAGAAATTTAAAGGAAAGACACATGAGAATTGGGCCAATGTATAAGCCCTGTGTCTCTGAGCTGAAGAAGAACAGCCAGAAGAGCAGCATTTGGAATAGCAAATAAAATTCTTAGGTGAGGAGAGTTTTTATTACTAATGGAAAGAAAATAGCACTGGTCAGAGCAATGGAGACGGTAAAAAAGTTTGATGGGAAATTTTTAGGCCAACCAGACTGTTTATACCCCAACACTTTGACCACCAGCAGACCCCTGAGCATCTCACAACTAACCTGTGTGATGTCCAATAGACTAGAATATGGACTTTGTGCCAGAATTCATAAACAAAATGAAAATGTGAATGAAAGGAAGGGTTCAGGCCATTTCAAGATGGGTTACCATGAGGTAAATACTTTCCAGTGGTTGTTGCAGAGTTTAAACCATCTGTTCCAATGTCTAGGCACCCTGCCCCAATCCAGACAGGTAGGGACCTGTCAAAAAGCAGACCTCCTGCACTGAGAAGGAAGAGTGGAGCGCCATTTGCCTATTGGGTGCTCACTTACATGCAGGGATGGTGCAGTCTCGCGTGTTGTGGTAAAGTCTGTGAAAGTGCTTGCTGCACTTCGGACTGAAATAAAGAGGACCTGGAACACAGAGGAAGAAAGTCACAAAGACTCAGGGCAAAAAGGAGCAGGGAGGGCAGAGGAGTGAAGGGAACACACACCTGTGAGATGTTTCAGAAACTTGTCCTTCATCCTTAGATCTCGAGGAACAATCTCTATGAGGGGTGAGAAAGCGTATTACTTGAACAAAGCACCTATTAAGTGTGATCTTAAGTGAATGTGGAGGAAATTTTTGAGACTTGCATTATCCATACTACAATGCACTGGATAAAATAGGAGAACACTTGGTATTTGCATGTAATACAATGTGGACACTTACATCAGGACATGATTTTTCTCAAACAGCATTAACTACTCATAAAGCTCCAATATTATCAGTCTATTCTTTCTGGATATGATAAGAGTCACAGGCCATAAAGTTACAGGATTGAAAAAAAAATGGTTTTGGATAGATTCCAAGGGATGAATCACTTGTATCCACTTTAATTAAAAAACTTTGAAATCAAATTCCACAGCATTTAAAAATTCTAGAAATAAACCTGAACCTTCAAAACAAAACAAAAAGAGGTATTGAACACTATACTTTTGTAGGTAATTTTAAAGATCAAATTTCTTTACAATTCTCTGATAGTGAGGCTGATGTGAACAGATGGGAATGTACATCACCTTGGTTTATAAGGCAAAGTAGGGTCCCTAAGGAAAGGTTTTTAACACACCAACTCATAATCATGCTTTTTGTTGGCATCTGGTCCCCAGTGATGGCTTCCTGTTTGTTTTTCCCCCTGAGTTTGGAAATTGTTTTTGCTTTATTTTCAGTCTCTGTAATCATTTTCTAAGTCTCTGACCCACATGAAGCCAATAACTTCTCTGTGATTGTGTAATGTCACATTTTATTCTTACCAGAAATATTATTCTCCTCTTTCCTAATAGCCAATGAGAGATACTGACATTGAGTCTTCCATGAGGGAGGTGGAGACTACAACCTAAGGCCTTTCTTCATGTGCTCCTTACTTGAGTCAGTTTACACAAAAGTGACCCTATCATATTTGACCTAATTGTGTCATGAAAGCATTAAAAGCTTGCATGCTTTCCTGAGAAATTCCCATGAGCCACTCTGGAAAGGGCTCCACCAGGGAAGCTCTGGCCATTTCTTCCTCTGCTGGAAATGGTGGGCTGGCAACCCTCCCCTGTAAGGAGCAGAGTGTCCTAAACTGGGCACCAGCATATCTTAGCAGTGGATTGGGATTGTTATTTTAGATGCTCACACACAGTCTCCTGTTTCTGCCAGTTTCTTTTTTCTTGAGAAATAATAAAAAACAAAAACGAAAACAAAAAATTTCTTAGTAAAAAATTTTTAAAATTGATTCATCTTTAAAACTATGTTTCTAAAAAAATTATATTTAAGAAAATACTAATATAATGTGTCTTTCAGATATGGAAGGTAGCCCTTTCATCCACACTGCCAAACCCACTTTTTGCTCCTCAGTACACACTGTGGCTAGAACTGTCTTTCAGGGCCCACACTGACAGTACCTCACTCATTCCTTTTCCTTCAGTTCTACACTGATGGACACTCGGGCATCCTTGGTTTCTCAGGTCATATTGCCAAGACTTTCACTCACTCTCTGTCAGATCTACATCGCCAGGACCTCACCCACTCCAGTCCTCGTGGTCCACATTGTTGGGCCATCATTCACTCTCTACCAAGTAGATTGGAACTGTCAGATAATCAGCAGTCACCCACTCTCTGCCCCTCAGGTCTACACAGCTAAAATACTCACTGTCTGTTCCTTGTAGTCTACACTGCTTGGATCCTCATCCACTCTGCATCCTACTGGTCCATACTGCTACAGCTCAATCTCATTAACTTTCTGTACCTTGTGGTCTAAGTTGCTGGGCACTCACCCACACTGTTCCTCAGACTCACTGCTAGGGCTCTCTCTTCCACATCCTATTCTCATACGTCTACAATGCCAGAGCACTCACTACTTACTTCCTGCCTTTCAAATCTATGCTGCCAGAACCCTCCCTTACTCTATTTCATATTATGGTCTACACTGCTGAGCTCTTACCCACTCTAAGTCCTTCACGTCTACACTGAGGAACACTCACCCACTCTCTGCTCCTCTGGGTCTGCCCCATAATCCGTGGCCTCCCTACGGCCCAAGGCAAAGTCGGACTCGCCAAGGAGCTGCAGCCTCTTGTTGTCTCCAGTGTGGAATTTCTTCAGCTCCTGAACCAGCTCAACTAGCAACCTCAGCAAGGTCTGCCGGTCTGCAGGCCCCCGGGGCTGCGCACGTCCCCGGTCCCCCACCATACTCAGCAGCAGCAGCATAAGGAACAGCGGGCGCCCTGACACGCGCATGGCCCCGGTGGCCTGCGTCGCGGGTCTTGGGACCCGCCGCCCCACCAGCCGGAGTCCAAGTTTCCCGCACGCGGAGTCCGCGCGGAGACCGCGCCACACAACTTTCTTTCACCGCGGGAACCGCGCGCGGGGTCTTGGACACTTCTCTCAGAAATAGGAGGCCACAGGTGCAGCCCGGCCTCAGGACCGGAGCTGCGGAGCAGTTGGGCCACCCTGGACTTGAGAGGCAAGGGCACCTGCCAGCTGTGGGTACCGCACTGCCCTCAGGCACCTGCTCCCACGCCGTGGATCCCGCGTTGCCCTCGGGCACCTGAGCCCACGCCGTGGGTTCCGCGCCTGCCGCGCTCCTCCGTCTCCCAGTTCCGACACTACTTCATGAGCTCCAGCTTCACTTGTCCAGCGCAGGGACACAGGACGCACAGCTCCTACGGGGACAGCGCCGACCCTGCTGCTCCGAGCCCCGCTGTCCTCGGGCGCTTCTTATCCCCGCGGCCGCCGACGTCAGGCGGGTCCCCCGGGTTCCGAGCGCCGCTTTAATTAGAACCACCGAGCGCTGCTCCGGGGCGCGGATATTCGTCAGGCCCCTCCGCCTCACGCTCTCTCATCCCCTCCCCCGTCCCCTCCGGGCCCAGTCTTCAGTCTCCACCCCTCCCTCACGTCTCCACCCGCGTCTGGTCTCCCCCTCTCCCGTCCTTCCTCTGCCTCTCCTGTTTCCCTCTCCCGCAGTCTGTTTCCCTCCGTTCCTGTCACAAGTGACAGGATGAGCAGAAATGCCTTTACCGGGAACTGGGATCTGTTTTTGTCTAAATGTAGATCTTGGGCTATTTAAAAGGAGCGGCTTGATTGCCTCGACATTGACATTGGGTGTCATCTAGAGTCTAGACTTTTCCCGAGGAGGGATCTGCCTGACACAGGCAGGTTTCAGGGTCTGAAGAAGACGGTGGGAGCGCCTTGCACTTGGAGGGACCCAAGCAACCTGAGAAGGTCCTTGGAGTAGGGACAGTGCTGGACCACGGGCTCTTGCCGCTCAATCTGCATCTTTAAGAAAGTTTGATCTTTTGAATCTAGCCAGGCACATTTACAAGGGCACAGCAATTTACTTGCTTGATTTTTTTTTTCTTGTGATAAGTATTACCAACTGCACAGTTTCCCATTTCATTGGTGCTTTCTGGGCAGGAGCTGGACATCATCCAAGTCAGCGATCACATCGGGAAAGGTGTTCTTAGTACAACATCAGAAAGAGAGAACGCAAGCATTAAAAGCCTTGATCTTTAACCTGCGGCTGCTCAGGCTGTTGCGAAGATGCAGTGCCTAGCAAGTGCTCACCTGCATTGGCCAGGGGTGAGGAGGGGAAGCACTGTGTGCCAAGCCCCTGCTCTACATGGATCCTGGAACTCTAATTCTATCTCTTCTCTCCACCACCTTCTCCTTCCCCTCACTGAATCTGTTGCTCTAGAAGATCAAGTACCTGATAGAGTGGGATGAGTAGCTACGGGAGAACCAAAAATGTGGCCCCTTGGATGGTGTGTCTATCTTTAAAAGCAAACAGTTTGATCTTCCAATTTGGGTTTCTTTTAGTTTTAGGTTTTTTTTAAAGTTTATTTAATTTGTTGCATGCAATACAGTGGAAGTGCATAGGTTCCTACTGAAATTAATGCAAGACAAAGTAAAATTTCATGAGAAACAGATCTTAAGCAGATAAGACGGGGTACTTCTCCTTTCCTTTCTCTATCCGTGTATAAAGGGACAAAAAGTTCCTCTGGTAAGAGGGACTCCAACTGCCCAATAGCTTTCCTTCTCAGCAGGTCAGCATCCACCTACTACTCTGGTATCTGCAGATCCATGTACCACTAATCACAGTGCAGTGGAACTTACAAAGCTTCTGGGTTATTGTGATGATATCTTACTTAATCACATACTATTTTAAACTTACATAGACCCATTTAAAACTGTTTCACAGAATCAAAACCTTCAATTTTAAAGACAAAACAACAATGGAATGGAATCCACCCCTTTAAATTCTACCAGCACAACACAACAAGCCTTGCTAGTGGTGAATATTATCCTTTTGTCTTTTTTTTTTTTTTGGTTTCCAGTGAGACAAATGGGTTTCTTGTGGGACTCCTTTCTGTCACCCAACTGTATTGTGCTTAACTCAGAGCACAACATAGATAGTTAAATGCATAAACAATAGAGAAAATGTGTTTGGTTGGTTCCTGGACAAAAAATATGACAATCAAAGATCAGATACGTCATGTGTTTGTTCATTCTTGCAAAGCTCTATGCTAAAATGACTTCAAGTATACCTCATTTCACACAATATAAACATTTCCAGACTTTAAACATTTTAAAGAATGTATTATTCATTATTATTGTTTGCTCAACTTTCTTTTTTTTTTTTTTTTTTTTTTTTTTTTTTTTTTGGGTTTTTCGAGACAGGGTTTCTCTGTGTAGCTTTGCGCCTTTCCTGGGACTCACTTGGTAGCCCAGGCTGGCCTCGAACTCACAGAGATCCGCCTGCCTCTGCCTCCCGAGTGCTGGGATTAAAGGCGTGCGCCACCAACGCCCGGCATTGCTCAACTTTCATACAATAGTTTCAGGATGAATTCTGTGGAGTTCTCCACTTACCAGAATTATGTATGTTTTAAGTTCCTTAGTAGCCAAGACTGACCACAGGACCATACACGCAAGTTCACAAGGACTTTGAAGGTAGAGTGGAATATTGCCTGGTTACTCCAATTCTTTTTACATGAAGTAAGCCTTAGTGGTTGGACATTGTCCCTAATCTAAAACTATATAATTCTGTGATGTTTCAAAACTACAACAATAAAAAAACAACTTTCTGAAAAAAGCTGGAGGTAATTCACCTGAAGTAATTACTATTAGCTTAACATCTATTGGGGGGTAGTTATTAAATTCAAATAATTTCCTTTTTTACTAAATGAGCAACTGTTTATTGTGAAGGATTTCATAAGCTAAAAAGAGAAAACTAGCAAGAAACTGTATTCTAACAATAGATCTGCAATCTTCACCTTGAATTTGTTTATGGTTACCTGACTGTCATTCCAACCTCTAGTAGATGTAGAAATGCTTTGAAAACATTTATTTCCTTAGCTCTGACAATAAACTAAAAATTGCTCATATTACTGAGAAGAAGGTATTAGTAAGGATAGGTGAAGTTGTGGTATGGTTAAAAATAAACTCTAAAATCTCAAAAAAGAAAAAAAAGAAACTGTATTCTAGGTTGTCTTAGTTTACTTTTCTATTGCTGTGATAAAGACCATGACCAAAAGCAACTTGGGAGGAAAGGGTTTATTTGACTTATATATGCCTATTCACAGCCAATTGAAGGAAACCAAGGCAGGAACTCAAGGCAGGAATCAGGAAATATAGCAGAGGCCATGGAGGAATACTGCTTACTGTCTTGCTCCCTGTGGCTTGCTCAGCCTTGTAGGTGGAAGTTTCTTTCCTGCCCACCAGTTCCCAAATAACCGATACAGAGACTCAATATTAATTATAAATGTTCAGCCAGTAGCTCAGGCTTGTTACTAACTCTTACATTTTCAATTAACCCATATTTATATCTATGATTTGCCACAAGGCTTGGTACCTTTTCCATCTTGCTTCTCTCTGCTTCTGTTCATGACTCCTGACTCTGTCCTTCTTCCCTAGCATTCTTAGTTTGCTTCTTCTGCCTAATGTTATCTCGTTCAGCTATTGACCAGTCAGCTGCTTAATTTAACCAATCATAGCAACATATATTCACACAGTGTAAAGGAATATTCCACACAGTTTGCTTTCTTATAAAACTCATGACCACCTGCCCCCAGTGGACTGGGCCCTTCCATATTAATAATGAATCAAAAAAAAATACCATACAGACTTACCTACAGCCAATATGATAAAGCATTTTCTCAACTGAGGTTCTCTTTTCCAGATAACTCTAACTTGTGTTAAGCTGACAAAAAAATCTAACCAACTCATAGGTTTATTGGGAGGATTATTTATTTTACTAGATTTAAGCTACTTTGCTTCTGAAGAAAATTATATTATATGATAGAAAGAAAACAACAGAGAGGTAAAAGTTGTATATAATCTGCCTTCACTCATACCCATTTCAAGAGACAGAAAAATTATTTTCTACAATGATAAACAATGTAAATCAAGCGCCAGCATTTTATAAAGGACTTTGCCTTGTCTGTGAAAAGTGTATATTTAATTTTAGATGAATATTAGCTTCCTTTAAATCAGTGGTTCTCAAACTATAGGAAGAATGTCTCAAAATACCTTAGTGTCTTGCCCTTTGAAAGTTTCAACATCCTATCTTTCTATGCCAACAGTGGAAATAACTTTGTATGTGCATATTAATCTTCAACATAAAAAACCTATCTGTGGCAAAAAAGAGAATTTGAACAGTCAAACTGGTCTATAGGAATATCTGGGCCAAATGGCATTTTATGTGCTCAGAAGCAACACCAAACTCTTTACATTTCATATAAATTCTGCAGAAGGTAAAATATCCTGATTAAAAATAACACATACAATGATACAGTGTAAGATAGAGACTGAAAAGTGCTACATAGTCCCATATATCAAATCCTGAAGGTTTGTTTTTTTGATAATTGATTACTCTGACAGATCAATACATAGTAGCAACCTCATACATGCTGCCTATGTTTCTTATCCACTCTTATTAAGAGGAATATCAGGTATAGCTGCCCTTTTCTGGGGGACTGTCTCTCTACTGGATCCTGGATTTGGATCTGAGTGGAAGTGAAGAGGATAAGTTAAATTTTAGAAGAATCAGGCTTGTTGTTGTTGGTCTTTTAAGCAAAGAGATCTGGGGCTGTTCTTCCACCACAGGTAGGATTAAATTCAATATGAATAAAACGTATTTTGTTAGGACACCTCCCCCCACCTCCAAAATCTTAAGCAGCTCAGGAAGAAACCATTACCAACCCCTATCCAAGTTTAAAAACAGTACATTTTGGAGACAACAGAAAGGAATGTAAAACATTAACAATACTCAGATTGGAGAACATGAGCTTTGCTCTTATTGCAGGAGCTGCCTCTCCTATTGCTGAAGTGAAGACACCTGTACTAGGGACAGAAAAGAGGTTCTTTACACTAACAATAAGCTTTGCCCTGTACTTCAGCCAATCTGAGAGTTTAGAAATTCATGGTCTCCTGTCTAGTGCGTTTTCTTTTAAAATATTTTTATTTAATTTTTATGTACATTAGTATTTTGACTGTATGTATGTGTTGCACCATGTACATTTTAGAATTCTATTTATTTTAATCTTTAAGATTTATTCATTTTTACACTTCCCTTTCTTTCCACTCCTTACTTTTATTGACTGATATCCTAGTCTAACCTTGTCACTGATCTCTCACTGACCTCTGCAGGCCAGGTGGGGGCTCCCTTGCACTCTGTTTTTTACCTATCATAGTGCTCATCTCCTTTGCTCTGTTTGGTTTTTGTGGCATGCTAAACAAATAATGGAGATAAAAAAAACTTATAAAGAGAAAGTTTCAGAGTTCAAGCCATTGCTTTTGGATAGATAGTAAGAAC